CGTGATTGATCAAAAAGCTTGAGTCTTTTCCTTCTGGGTTTGCTGTGAGGATTCTGCTGTTTGATCGAAGTTGGCTTGTAGGGTTCCTTCAGTAAAATTAGGTCATAGTAATAACGCCAATTTTGGGGTTATTATCAGATCAACCATCACAAGTGCACACTAATTGTCTCTATTGACATCTCACTGGTGGTTTTTGAGTCTGAGCTTTGGTCCATGTCCTTTTTTTTTTTGCAGCAAGACTTACTGTGGTTATTGCCAGAGGGTGAAACAGTTGTTGACACAGCTAGGAGCAAGCTTTAAAGTGCTTGAGCTCGATGAAATGAGTAAGAAAAAAAAAAAACCAAATCTCTGTTTTAACACCTTTACGCTCGATGCTAATCTACACAACTAATCTGATCTCTCAACTTAAACAGGTGATGGAGGTGAGATCCAATCAGCTTTATCTGAGTGGACTGGACAAACCACTGTTCCAAATGTTTTCATCAAAGGGAAACATATCGGTGGATGCGATAGTAAGACTATACAAACTCCTCTCTGCACATTGAGTTTCAGGTCGCGGGAAACATTTAACTGTTCATTTGGCTTTGTATTTTTGCAGGAGTGATGGAGAGTAACAAGCAAGGCAAGCTTGTGCCACTCCTTAATGAAGCTGGTGCTATAGCCAATAACTCTTCCCAGCTTTAATGCAACTTGTGTCTTAAAAAATTAAGGAAGTGAAGAAGAATGTTATGTTTAATATCATGAGAAAGGTATTGTCATGTAGTAACCAAATAAAAGAAGGATCTTTCTCGTTTGTTTTAACTCTGTTTTACACAATAATATCAAAGTGTGTTCTTCATGTTGGGGTTTGGTTAATGTAAAAAAATTGATTAAGAGTATCCAAACTGATCTAATTGAGCCACCGGACATTGCTTTGTTGCTGTTTATTATAGCTAGAGTTTTGCTTCTGATATTGACTTTGTACCGAGCCGGTTAATTCCGTAGATTAAGGACTACTCTCCTCCACCAAAATCCAATCTTGAAGTTTAGTGAAGAAAATAGCAATTTGACTCTTAACCTTTTCCTCAAAATTCCGAATTCAAGTCAATTCTTGGTTTTTGCCTACAAGGTTGGCACGACAAACTCAGAGTTGAAGACACCTGTAGAATATGTTCTGTCCGATATCTGCTATATCCTTAAAAGGAAAACTCTTTCGCAAGAGAATAAATTGGTTCCTCTGTTTAGTGAAAACCAGACGAGCAAAGAAAAGATGGAGACAAGAGATCGTCTCCTTGTACCCTGTCGTTGTCTTCAGGTTTTACTCGTGGAAATCTCCAGTTTTGTTTCCTCTGGGTTTACTTGAGCCTTTAGTTGAATCTTGGAATGAGCTTTAACAAGTTGTTGCTTAGGATCTCGAGTTATAGCAAGCAGGTGAAGCAGTTGTTGACACAACTAGGAGCAAGTTTTGAAGTACTCGAGCTCGATGTGATGAGTAAGGAACCGAAATCCTGTCAATACCTTTATAATGATGGTCCTCGATGAACCTGAAGTGGAAATTTTACGACTGATCTCTACTTCAACAGGTGATGGAGGTGAAATCCAATCAGCTTTGTCAGAATGGTCTGGACAGAGCACTGTTCCAAGCATTTTTCATCGAAGGAAAACATATCGGCGGATGCGATAGTAAGAGAAAAATTACGCAAGCTCTCGATGTACCTTAAATTTAGACTCAGGTCGAAGATCTTAACCGAAAGATTAAACTGTTGATTTGGGTTTTGCTTCATTGTTGCAGAAGTGACGGAGACTAACAAGCAAGGCAAGCTTGCGCCTCTCCTTACTGAAGCTGGTGCTCTCACCAAAACCTCTTCCAAGCTTTGATGAACTCTGATACCAGTGTCTTTGGGACTTCAAATTGTTATATTTAGATCATGAAAATGTATTGTCACTTAAACCAAATAAAAGAAATATCCATTCTCTCTGGTTAGCTCTGTTTATACAACCTGCTCTAGTTTCCTCTGCGGAATCACTGGCCATTTGCTAGTGTTGTTATAGGAAGAATTTTGGACTACATAAATTAAGGACTACCAAACCCAATCTTAAAGCTCCTATTGAAAAAATAGCAATTTGAAATTCAACAATCAAGGCAACAACAAAAAAGGGATCAAGGAACTTCAGAGCTCAAATGCAGTTTCTGGCATCCATAATCGAAGAAGCTTATCATAGAACGAGCAAGTTGCCACAACGCTTTGCTTCTGATCTTTCCCTCTGTACCAATCTGCTCCATAAGCAAGAGATTCATGCTTGTTATAACTCTCTATTATTTCACCCTTCCCATCACTAATCTTCGCTACAGCAAAACCGTTATGCATACAAGCCGCCAATACAACACCGCTCAGAGAAGGATGGTGCTTGATTCTCCACACACCTCCACCTAGAGAAACCGAAGTTTCATTCACAGGTCTCGAAACAGACCTCGTGTCCCAAACTCTTAACGTTTCATCATAACTTCCGGTGAATATAGAGTAAGGGTCACTTGGGTTTGGGGAAATGCAGCAAACACCCATTGTATGAACTTTGGAGTTTTGAAAAACCCGATTATTGGCCGGACTATCTCTGATATCCCAACAGCTGAACTTGCAATCATCTGATCCAGTATAGACCAAATTAGGATTGTTGAGATCGAATGAAGCCGTCCAAAGCTCAAAATCATGTCCTTTCCATTCTTGGACTGTTTCTAAGTTGGAATCAGTAAATGAAACAACTGAAGCAGAGCCATCAGATAAACCTACTACAACTGATGTTGAAGATTGATCCCAATCCAAACAAAGACACATTGATGAGCTGATTTTTTCACCAGAGACTTCTCTCAGAGTGTAACCTGCTTCAAGGTTAAAACTTTACTCAGATTACCAAACAATCAACAAAACAAAACTTAGATGCATCTTAACAACAAACCAATAACTAATCCTCTACACATTTCCCAATTACATTGCCTTAAAGCTCCAACTTTGTTTCAATAGATTACACAGCTACTTGATTAAATATCCTGACTTTCTTCTGCTAAAATCATCAGCTGCATCAACAGAATCAGTTCTAAGCCTAACTTTCCATGTTCATCTACAAATGCAGAAGCTACAAGTTCAAAAAGTCAGTACCTTTATCTTCAGTCTCATCTATCTTGTAAACTCTCAAGCATCCATCAGCATCAGCTTGAGCAAGCGCCACGTTTCCTCCACCATCGCCACCGCGACTCCACCGGATATCGAAAACTCCGGCGGTGTCAACTTTCTGTAACAGATTCAAGCCGACATCTTCTACTTCTCCGACATCAAATAGATACACAGACCCGGATCGAGAGGGACAGTCTCCTTCTTGGAGATTGTAAGTAGAAGCTGCAAGCAAGTTCGAGTAGGGTTCATGAGGACAGAATTCTACGGCGTCTGCGTTTCCTTCGAGATAGCAATGTGCTGCATCCATGGCGAT